GTGTGTGTGTGTGTTTTGTGTGGATGTTGCAATCCCTTTACTACGTATATTAATAAAATACATTTTAATCTTGCATTCTGGAATCTAGTTTCTTGGAACCAGTTAGCCACAAGCAAAAGATCCTTGCTTTTCAAAGCGACCGAAAAGCCTTCTTGCTGCTCCCTTGAGCTGATGAATTAATTCCCCTATCAAAATTAATTTATCAATGGAATTGTTATTTAGGTAACAATTTACCTGGAGCAATTTAGGTAACAAGATAACTACCATCACCTTCTCTTCAAATGCCCAGATAAGTAGCTTGTAAGATATGGCTCTATACCACTTGAAAAGGTCTCATACATGGCAAGAGGGACATGTCATGAAATGCAAACACATTAAGCACTTAGAAAAGTGGTTGTGTTTAAGGCTCCCTGTCTGTCCTTTTCGGGAGAGAAGGATTTAAAAAGGGGGCATTCGATTTTACAGTGCCGCGGATATCGCACCTGGGCCGAGGGCTGCGTTCCACATCTGCTAGGGCCCTGCAACCAAAGTCTAATGAAAACTGCCATCCATCACTCAAAGCACAAAAGAGGCCTTCAGGAACCAGCCAGGGATGCCAGCCTTGCGGGGAGTTGTGGCATGGAGCTGTTCCATGAAGCACAACCAGATTGTGAGACTGAGTGACAGGGATGATAAGGAAAAATGGGAAAACTACAGGAGTGAGGAGGGGTTGAGCAAAGCAGAAGAGGAAGATTTGCAGAGGTGTAACAGTTGGGGTGGAGTGGAGAAATGATAGCATTTGTTTCTCTAGCTGCTGCATCACACTGCTGGCTCATGTTCAACTTGTGGTCTACTAGGACCCCTAGATCCCTTTCACATGGAGTCTTGTTAAGCCAGGTGTCCCCCATCTTATATCTATGCATTTTATTTTTTCTGCCTAAGTGAAGTGCGTTCTGTTTCTACTTGGTGAAATTCATAGAATCATAGAATCCTAGAGTTGGAAGAGGCCTCAAAAGCCATCCATCCCAACCCCCTGCCGTGCAGGAAGACACAATCTAAGCCTTCTCTTGTGACAGATGGCCATCCAGCCTTTGTTTAAAGACCTTCAAAGAAGGAGACTCCACCACCCTTCAAGGCAGTCTTTTCCACTGTTGAACAGCCCTTACTGTCAGGAAGTTTCTCCTAATGCTGAGGTGAAATCTCTTTTCCTGTAATTTGAGTCCATTCTTCCATGTCCTATTCTCAACAAGCTTGCCCTATCCTCAATATGACACCCCTTCAAATATTTAAAGATGGCTGTCACGTGTCCCCCTCTTAACCTTCTCTTCTCCAGGCTAAACATACCCAGCTCCCCAA